GTCGAACACAGATCCACTGATCCTTCAACACAGAGCATCTTCAGAAGACAAGCTGATAAAATAAATTTGAAAATCTCTGTTGCTTGATACACTGTGTGTATTGATCCTACAGCACTGTATTGAATGGTTTGTTACAGATACATGTATTGTTGCAGCCCTAATGTTAAACTGGACTCACTATTGCTGCTGTGCACAGATGGTCACCTGTAGCTCTGTGAAGCTTTATCCTTAACACAACCGTCATTGCCTTTAGATGAATTTCTGACTTTATTTTTTTGTTTTCCGCCACTCTCATCAGCATAAATGTTCAACCTAATATCGTAGCTGTTTTTCACTTTACCGTAACACAACCAATCAACACAAAACACAACAAAGTTGGTAACCATAATGGAGCAGTTGGCAGCTAAATGAGTCTGGGGAACAGGTATTTATGAAGTGTCAAACCAACACTGCATGGCTGAACAACCTTCCAAAACAATCCTCATTGTCCCCAAATGTCACACCCTCTGCTAAGCTCAGGAGCTCCACTTTTTATATGTATTTTTTTCTTTTGTTCTCCATTTTAAAATCAAGAAAAGAAAAAAATCTCCATCTGTTTTTCCCACTTGTCCCAATCTGTTTGTTAAGCTTGCTCTGCGTTTTTATAGTTATTTCTTCACATTTTCTCCTCCTTTCACACTCTTATTGCACTGTCATTGTTGGCACCCTAATTCCCTTACCTACTCTTCGGCTCGCTTTGTCTTTACTTTTTTTTTCTGCTTTTACATTTGCCGTGCCTTTTCTACGCGTCCGACTGTGTTTGTGAGTGTGTTTGTTTGTGTCCGTCAGTCTATGACTTCACCGCAATTCATCATCATTTTATCTGCAGCTCCCCTAATTGGATCCTATCACAGTCCCACCTGACGAGCGGATAGGCGGGGGGTGGGGGGGAGAGAGAAAGAGCCTCGCTCGCCCCACCTCGCACCATACGGCTGTGTGCACGCGGGCGCAGAAGTAAACACACAGCTCAGCCTCCGACGTCTAGCTCGATCAGCAGCTGCAAAACCTGTGTGGAGACCTGTGGATTTCCTGTTTTCCTCGACTCCTGCGGAGCTATCACTGGAATTTTACAAAACACTTGAAGTGCGCTGAGGAATAAAGCAATAACTGTGCGTGTATGTGTGTAATTCATTTGGTTTTGTCTAAGGTTTGCAGAAGATCTTTGTCCTCCAGCGACAACAATTCACAGCAGTAGTAGAGGGGTAGTAATGAATGTATTCTAACTCTGGGAAGGAGAAAAATACACATTKGTCCAAAATCAACTGTAATGTTGGTTTTTGAGATGTGGAAGGTTTTCAGAACGCACTCAAACCCCAACAGATTTTATATATATACTTCATATTTACCACAAATATACAACAATTCTTTGTTTTATTGTTCACTAAGAATGCCAGTGAAGGATATCTGTGACTCACTGCGCCTGCAGAACCAAATGTCATCCAAAGTAATGAGAATAAGCGGCAGAATTCCTTTAGAACAATAATATTTAAATATTCAGCTTTATGTGCAGCACTTAGTGTTTTTACAGCTCATTCAATATTCAAAAGGCTTTAGAGCAGTCATGTCATTAAGGACTAATCTGTCCTCTAAAAAAAAAACTAATAACAACCCCAAAAGTCAAATCTAAAAGCACAATCACTTGCATGAAGCAATTACAGAAACACAAGCGACTAAATATGCATGATTTACATTTCCAAAGCACAAAAGAACCGTAGGAGCCATCATTATGATCCGGAAATCAGCTTCGGTAATATGCCCCTGAACTTTTTTTTTTTTGAGTCGCCATCCAACATCAGAGGTGTACAGCATTCAAGGATCAAACTACTGGCTCTCAATCTGTCCTTTGTGGGGAACCTCGGTAGGGCTCAAAAACAGCAAGCGGTCGCAAATCAGCAACGTGAACTAACWGTGACGCAGAAGTCAGTTAAATGAGCCGCAGCAACTGACAGGTGTGTGACAAGCTGAAGTAAAGAGGGGGGGTCGGGCAAAGCTGCCAAAGCCGCACATTAGTTCCTGCTGCCGTTTCGCTGCTCGGATTGGCTATTTGACCAATCGCCGCGAGCAAATACCACCGAGTACGCCTCGCATGTTAATCATACTATAAGTTAAGTCGTAATTGGGAGCGTTAAAATGCCTCCCTCCTGCTTCACGTCCCGATTGGAGCTGGGGAAAATTAGCATTCTCTGTAACGGTCTCTCCCTGTTAGTGGCGACAGTTTGAGTGCGAGCTGAGAGGCAGGAATCAGGAGCCGGAATGAGGGAAAGAGTGACTTTGCRACAGTCGGTCCCTGCGGCCATATGCCTCAGCTTTAAGTCTTTGCCACAGCAGCCTCTACGTCTCACACTGCAACTAACCAGCTGCGAAGCCTCCCAAATTGTTCCAGCCGTGGGCCTTTCCGGTGGTGCGGTGCGGTGCGTGCTGTTGTTCTTACCGTGGTCTTCTGACACTGTATGCTCGAGCTGTTGAACCGAAGAGCGGGGACGCTGTGCGTGTTTTCCTGGATGTGAAAGATGCATTCGTAGTTTCTCTGTCCGGACTGAGGCTGGGGCAGATTCTGGGCCAACAGCGTGATTGGCCTCATGACTCCGGCGGGAATATAGATCTGGGTGGACGGCAGAATCTGTGGACACTCCTGGATAAGAGATAAAAGAAGAGCTTTAGGCAGAACAGAAGTGAAGACGCAAGTCTGCGAGGACAAAAAGTTTTCAACACATTGAGAGAAATAATATATCTGCACGTGCCAAAAGCAATAAATCCATCATTACAATTATTACTCATTCTCAGAATTATGAATTAGAAGTAGCTAATTATGCCTTTAGCATTATAAATTAAAACAGTTCCCCTATGTCCATTAAAATAAATCCTTTTCTTTTTTTCTCCAACTGCATTTTACCACACTGGATGCTAATCCACAAGCATTTCAGCTCCCTTTGTTCTTCTGCTGACATCAACTAGCCTAAAACCCTCTCTTACAAATTATCAACACTCATGAGGATCAACTCTGCTTTTTTACTAAACACTGAAAATTGAATGTAGCAGTAAATCGTTCCAGAGAGTTCAAGCCAATTTGGAATCAACCCCCCCTCCCCATATTAATGAGATTTTTATGGATATTAGATGTGTTTTGGCCCAAAATAACCCACCGAAAGGATGTTCCCGTTTTGTCCGTGCGCACAAAACTGAGAGCCAGAGGCAGCCTCTCTGAGGAATTTGGAAAGTTCCTCAGASAGTACGGCCCCAGCATTACCATACTGTAATTCAGTCAAAAAAATACAGTAAGGTAAGTGATTCAGTGATTCTAATCAATRATTACGGAGTRTGAAATCAGAAAGTTATCMTGAACTATATGAAACAGTGCAGTTTGAAAGAGTTATATGCATAAAACATGAGTTGCTTATTAAAGTCCAAACTCTCTTAAACCTGACTAAAACAACATAAAAGTTTGAGTCACATTATTAATCTACATTATTCTGCATAGGTAATACTATTATAGAACTGTAAGCTAAAGAACGTTCCATAAATGTACATGCTTATACGGTAAATTAAGTATTTTAATTTGTTTCTATCAGCTTCTAAAAATTCAGTTCAGCTACATCAGAATTTTGTGTAGAGCAGGGGTGCCCAAACCTTTACTGTGAAAACTATGCCAAATGCAACAATATAACATATGAAATGCAAATACATTTTAAGTAAAATTGTATTATTATAATTTTTTATATTTAAGCTAACAGCCAGTGCAGTGACCCACATTTCTTTTCTTAGCCTGCGACCTTGGAGAAAGTTTGACATACGCTTGACTCGGRCAGCAAARGCTCATGGGCCATTTCATACKTTGATACAATATGAATCTTATAAAGTGTGAAAATGGATGGATAACTCAAAGATAAAGTAAGCTCCATAATGGAAAACTATCTGCACTACAGCCCCTTATATAACCATTGCAACAACAAAGGCAATGATTGTCAGGGAAAGGGGAGGGGGTTTCTGCTTGATAAAACACGATTCCACCCATGTAACCTGATGACATCATCAGGTATGGCGTACAAGATGACATCACCAGGTTACGTGGGTGGTGTTTACCTACGTGATGATGTAACTCATTCAAAATCGAACAGTTCTTTTGAACGGCTCTATGAAACAAACGGCTCCTCAAGATCCGGATCCCATCTCTATCGTAAAGTTATCTTGAACTTTCATTTAGGTCATTTAGTGTTTTGCCAAAACTTTAAAAGGAGTTTTGGACAATTGATCAGATGACAAATTTAACCAATAGACTTTTGATAATTGTATCTCATAGTTTTACTGAGCACAATAGCCTGTTGGGTATTAAAYGCTTCTTGGATTATTCAATTTTATTTCAGACAGTAGGAAGAAGGTAATCAGGAAACAGAAGACTGATAAGAGATCAAATCAATGCCAGGAAGCTCAGCGAAGCACACCTTCAGATAGCGAGGCTGACAGTCAAAATTTAAAGTTGTCACAGATGCCTGCAGACTGCTAACAAACTGATTCCAACCTTGATTATTATGAAAAACAACACAGAAGAAGCCAAAAAAGCAAGATCACGCAATCCTTTAAAGCAGTGGTTCCCAAACTTTTTATCTTCTGACCCACAAAATATCCATGGCAAAAACTTGTGACCCCAAATATTACTGGTCTGGGTACACAAACTTTGTTAATAACCCTAAAAACACAGGCTTTTTGACAATCCAAACAGCTTGTACACAAATATAAATAC